AAATAGGGAAATAATGAGTGATGCTTTGCACCGGCACTGAGAACATGCTGCAGAAAAACAATTTCTTTGCAGATGATATAATCTAGCAAACTCACAACTAAATACCAGCTTAATGTATCAAAGGGAAGAGCAAGAAGACAGAAGAACTTCAGGAAAATAAAGTACATTGAAACACCTTCTTAAGAGATGTGCTGAAAACAAAGCTCACATAGTAAATGTTTTGGAGAGAGGTCGGAAGCCCTTTGGGGTCTGAATGTGCAGTGTCTAACATGTTGAGAATTTCTCACAATTGAGAAACAGTAACTCATTTTCTTCCAGGCCCTCTTCTGGGAAGGAGAGTGGTTTCTAGAGGAATGATACAACAATGATTCAATGTCTCAATGCTTCGCCCAAGCAACGCCATGCAACCGCCATGCCTTAAAAACAAAATTACCTGAGCACCACTACAATTGGACTTTCACTTCCAGTTACGACCATTAGCCCCTTCCAGATCATTAGTGCTGAGGAGACAATCATTCCAAAATTTAGGACTTGGTAATACAGCTGTAAGAACAAAGGAGAAGAGATTAGACCTACGATTATCCCCACCCAGGCAAGAACTGAGGGTAGAATCAATTTAAAGGTTTCAAGTAGCACCAGTTCAGCAGCTGAAGTTCCAAAATAGTCTTTAAAACTCTGTAATAATTACACAATCAGCCTTCTCTCTCTCACCCCAGGTGCCCTGCTCCATTTTGTTTACTAAAATACGTTACATTTATATAACTTATTATTTTCAGAACCTTTCACTTGTTATTTCATTTGTACGTTCACAACCATTCAGCTTAAATCCAATCACGTTCATGATACATACCAGCCAACAGTGACAAACCTGTGCCTTTGAACTCCTCTCGTACTCACTCGTCTACAATATTTATCCCTTGATAATCATGGCTGTTTAATGACATTTAATCCCACCCCTCATCTTACAGTTGAGGAAATTGAGTCTGAGAGAGAGGAAGTGACTTCGCCCAAGTCAGACAATTTGTCAGTCACATAGTTAGGACTTGAAGGCCAGCCTTCTTTCTTTCTTAACACATCTGCACTACTTGACAAATTGTAAAGTTCTGTGACTTGAATAAGCAAACGCAATACTAGAGACGCATTGTAAATGAGGGAAATAATCTGCACTAATTGTGTTGGTGTAAGGCTGCATAAAGGGTAAAAGTAGAGAGGATGACTGGACACCATGGTAGATGGTTCAAGAAATGACAAGATGGTGTTGCCCTAACCCAGGGGTGGGCAAACGAAAGTTCCCAGGTTCGATTTCAGTCCAGGGCATGTGCCTGGGTTGCGGGCATATGCCCAGTGGGGGATGTGCAGGAGGCAGCAGTGTGCAGAAGGCAGCTGATCGATGATTCTAACTCTCTATCTCTCTCCCTTCCTCTCTGTAAAAAATCTCAAGAAAATATTTTAAAAAAAGAAAGAAAAGATGGTATTGAAGAGTCCTGGGAGAATCTGAAAAAGCATATTATTAAGCTCAGATTATACACAACCTTGAATGTACCATTGAAAATGTGAACCTGAAAAGACATGACATTCATAAGATGCTTTAAAGTGAAAAAAAAAACACCAAAAATTTCAAAAATATGCACAATGTAAGTTTGCTTTTGTTATTTTTAAAATATATGTGGCATGTGAACAATCCGTAAGACAACTGGTTCTAGTCCGAAAATTCAGTATCGTGGAAATAAACATGGGAGACTGTTCTAGATTTAAAATAACTTGTTCTAGTCCGAAAATTCAATAACTAAACATGGGAGACTGTTCTAGATTTAAAATAACTAAAGAGATATAACCGAGGACAGAAAATTCAGCAAAATAGAAGTGATGGTAACTTTAAATACTATCATTTAACAGGCCATAATCTGAAAGTTATGTACTGTTCATTTATCTATTATAGTTATCAAACATACCAATTATATTTCTATTCTTGTAAGAGATATGTGAAGTTCAACATAAGGATATTTTCATAGAAGTAAGACTTCCTGCAATTTTAAGCAAAGACAGAAGTAACCATGGAAGCAAAATTTGTCGGAGCTACAAAATAGCTGACCTGCCCTGGGTGGCGTTGCTCAGTGGTTAGAGCACCGGCCTGTGCACCCAAGGGCTGTGGGTTCAATTCCGCTCAAGGGCATGTACTACCTGAGTTACAGGTCCGAACCCCAGCCCGGGTTGGGGTGCGTGCGGGAGGCAAATCAATTGAAGTGTCTCTGTCACATAGACATATGTTTCTCTCCCCTCCCCGGCTCCCCACCTCCCTTCCAGTCTAAAAAACAATTGGAAAAAAATATCCTCACTCCTACAGTGAGGATAAAAAAAATAAAATAGCAGTTGGCCTGAAGTCTTATCTTAGGACCTCAAACTAACAGACTCATAACACATAACCACAATTTCCCTGCTTTCTAACTCACAGAAGTGATCAGAAGCTATGGTATTGGAGGCAGGCACACTGACAGCAGCAAAATGTAAAACCGATGGCACTGGCAAAACTGAAGCATGTTCAGATCAGACACTGTTACCATGGCCCAGTAAAGTCACTGCTTGTCCCAGCGAGAATTTTTAATGATAATGACAACAAAAATCCTGAATAGTCAAAACAGGCTAATATCAATAACAGTAACACAAGTCTCATTTTAAAAAATGTGTTACTGTTTTACAATCTGACAAATGAAAACATATCTATTCAATACACAGGTACAGTAGCTTCATTCATAATGGCCTCAAATTGTCCATCAATAGATGAATACACTGCAATATTTCCACACACTAGGATACTGTTCAGGAAGAGAAAGAATGAACTACTGCCGAAACCGGTTTGGCTCAGTGGATAGAGCGTTGGCCTGCGGACTGAAAGGTCCCAGGTTCGATTCCGGTCAAGGGCATGTACCTGGGTTGCGGGCACATCCCCAGTAGGAGATATGCAGGAGGCACCTGATCGATGTTTCTCTCTCATCGATGTTTCTAATTCTCTATCTCTCTCCCTTCCTCTCTGTAAAAAAATCAATAAAATATATTTAAAGCTGGCGGACAAAGGTCCCAGGTTCGATTCCGGTCAAGGGCATGTTCTTGGGTTGCGGGCACATCCCCAGTGGGAAATATGCAGGAGGCACCTGATCAATGTTTCTCTCTCATCGATGTTTCTAACTATCTCTCTCCCTTCCTCTCTCTAAAAAATCAATAAAATATATTAAAAAAAAAAAAAAGAATGAACTACTGATACAACACAGAATCTCAAAAATATGATGTTTAGGCCAAGTTGGAGTAACAGGGACCAAAGTTACCTCCCGGCCTGAAATAACTAAGTAACGCTGGACAAAACATATGAAACAAAGGGTTTCAGACATGGAACACGTGACTGCATCCATGTAGCACAGAATTGTGATTGCTCAGAAAGGAGAAACTTGCCCCAACTGACCGACTGGAGTTTCTAGAACAAGGGCGAAGGGGAATGCAGACAGAGCCTGGAAGGCTCCTTGACTTGAGGAGAAAGAACCGGGAGTTTGAGGAGGCAAAGGTAGCTAGAGACCCGGGGCAGGATGGAAATGAGAGCGACACAAAGGTCTTCAGAGGGTCTCTGCTCAAGTCCTCATGAGAAAGACGACCAGCGATGATCAGCAAGTGCCTCTGAAGGAATTAACAAGGATGCAAAAGAACCATCTAAATGGGGCAGGGATAGCTTGAGCTCCTGAAATAACAGACTTCCTGAAAGTACTCAGAAAAAAATTATCAACCTGCCCTAACCAGTTTGGCTCAGTGGATAGAGTGTCGGCCTGCGGACTGAAGGGTCCCAGGTTCGAATCCGGTCAGGGGCATGTGCCTTGGTTGTGGGCACATCCCCAATAGGGGGTGTGCAGGAGGCAGCTGATCGATGGTTCTCTCTCATTGATGTTTCTAACTCTCTATCCCTCTACCCTCCTCTCTGTAAAAAATCAATAAGATATATAAAAAAATACAAAAAAACCCCCCAAAACCCCAAAGAAACACACAAAAACCTATCAACCTAAAATTCTATACCTGGAGAAATTTCTTCCAAAAATGAAGGCAATGCCCTGGCCAGTTTGCTCAGTGGATAGAGCACTGGCCTGTGGACTGAAGGGTTCCAGGTTCAATTCTGGTCAAGGGCACGTACTTCGGTGGCAGGCTTGATCAATTCCCAGCCCTGCTCAGGTGCATGTGGAAGGCAACCAATCGATGTCTCTCTCTCTCAGATCGATGTTTCTCTCTCTCCCCCCACCCTTCCACTCTCTCTAAAAATCAATGGAAAAACATCCTTAGGTGAGGATTAACAAACAAAAAGAAAGGCAAGGGGGAGGGGGGACGAGTGTGGGATACAAGGGGTCAATGGGGGGGAAGGCATCTGTAATATTTTCAACAATAAAGATTAAAAAAACAAAACACGAAGGCAAGCCCTCGCCTGTATGGCTCAGTTAGTTGGGCGTTGTCCTGTGCATCGAAAGGTTGTGGGTTCGATTCCTAGTCAGGGCACAAACCCAGGTTTCAGGCTTGATCACAGGTACAAGGCATGGAGGAGGCAGTGGATCGACGGTTCCCTCTCACATCAATGTTTCTCTCTCTCTCTCTCTCTCTCCCCCCCCCTTCCTCTCTCTCTAAAAATCAGTAAAATGATACCTTTTTAAAGAATGGAGACATGCCTACCGGCATGGCTCAGTGGTTGAGCATTGACCTATGAACCAGGAGGTCACGGTTTGATTCCAGGTCAGGGCACATGACTGAGTTGTGGGGTCGATCTCCAGTGGAGGGGTGTGCAAGAGGCAGCCAATCAATGATTCTGTCTCATCATTGATGTTACTCTCTCTCCCTCTCTGAAATCAATAAAAGTATATTTAAAGAAAAAAAAAGAATGGAGACAAAATTAAACCTTTTCAAAGGCACAAAAACTCAAATATAATTCATCACGAGCAGACCTACAATACGAAAAAAAAGTTTTTAAAAGTCCTCCAAGCAAAAAGAACATACCGAATGAAATCTGGATTTACACACAGAAATGAAGCACACTAGATATAGTGTATGTTGGTAAACATATATTTTTTTCTTATTTAAAATTTGTGGGGGTAAAAAAAAAGTGTGTGGGAGATACCTAAAATAGTACACAGAGGGAATTTTACAGCAATAAAGGCCTCAAATCCTATGTTGTGCTTTTGTTTACACTCAGTTCAAATATTTTGTAATTTCCCTTGGGATTCTCCTTTGACCTATGGGTTATTTAGAAATACACTGTTTAATTTACAAATATTTGTAGCTTTCCCAAAGTAAACTTCTACCTTAAAACACTAGGAAAAGCAAGTGAAACCCAAAGTAACTCACAGAAAGGAAATACTATTAAAGAAAGAGGAGAGCCCTACCCAGTTTGGCTCAGTGCATAGAGCGTCAGCCTGTGGACCAAAGGGTCCTGGGTTCGATTCCAGTCAAGGGCACACACCTCGGTTGCAGGCTCCCAGCCCTGAACAAGGGCGTGCGGGAGGCAACCAATCAATGTGTCTCTC